TATATATACACACACACACATATATGCATAATAATTAAAATTTTGCCAAGGATTGTATAGTATTTTAGAGGTTTGCTTTATTTCTGTGTATTTTATCATCAGATCGCTGGCAGAAAATAATTTTCTAAATCTAAAAAGGGAAGGTTTTGGTAACACTTCAGTATGTGTGTTTCAGAGCCTAGAAACTTGCAGGAATCACAACTTGAGAACTATTATTGAAGCCTCAACAGTTTTTAATAAAAATTTCAATCTAACACATAAAACTTAACCCTGGAGAAGGAGAAGCAAGTTAAATCTGAATGAACAGATTCTTAGCTTTCAGAGATTCTAAAGGTGACAGACTATTTTATTTCACATTCATGAGAAATAAGTAGTAGGTTTATTAATACAAAACATAGCACCTTTAAATTAGAAATTTAAAGTATTCCAAGTTAGTTTTGAAGATAGTGTTTTGTTGCCTTGTAAAAGCTTAGAAAGGGGTATTTTGCACAAAAGAAGTTCTTTTATTGTAATTATTTTAAAAAACCCCAGAAGGTAACGGAAAGAGGGATGTCTAATGTGTAAAACATGTAGGACCTTGTGTGGGATAACATTCATCCCAATATTCTCTATAATTTTTTTATTCCACCCCACTCTAACACTAAAAAGCTTTCTGCATTCTAATTCAAGTTGGTGAAAGGCTGAGCAGCACTTAACACTGTCCTGGAGGAAATACAGGGACTATAAACTAGCTTAAAAATAAATAAATACATACATAAATAAATAAACATTAAGGAAAGTAAAAACCCTGTGTAGTGGAGTGTTGGGATGAAATGGGCATTCTTGCTTGGTCTCCCTTTAATTCCTAATGAGTTCAAAACCATGGTATCCTGCTCCTGAGTGAATTAAAGAGACAGCATTATCTAGAAAGGTGGATGTGGCATCAGGAAGGTGGCAGAGGTAAGTGGAGGACAGAAAGTTAGACAAAAACTTTCAAAACCAGTGACAACCACCTATTCTGATTCCCCACTAAACCTTACTCCTGAAACCTAGTCTGGAATCATCTTGGGATGTAAGCCCAGAATGGCTACATAACTCACCAAAAATGGTGTGGGGATGAGGATCCTGACCTCACAGAGCTGAGCTTTCTTCAGTCACAGGCCAATGCTCAACAGTAGGAACCATGAAAAGTGTGTTTTCTTAATCTGCCACTGAGTGGGGCAATTCATTTTTCTTGGCAGGAGAAAATAAAGATTCTGATTTGTACTGTTGTACAGAAAAAAAAATTGATAGTAAGCATAATACGTGGTGTCCCAAAAAAATGTATACACACTTTAACAGCTGGTAGCTCAATTTTTTAAAATGTATTTTAACAAACACTGCCTTTATAATTATTCAAAGTGTGTGTGTACATTTTTTGGGGGACGCCCTATATATGATACAGATGTCCTCAAGTGATTTAGCATCCTGGATTCAGTGAATTTCCAAACAGCCAAAGCTTAGGGAGTGTGTTCATTCACTCTATACAACCAGTGTCCTGAGCCAGATGTTCTGGGGCTGGTTTAAAAGATTAAGTAATGGAAATACCTATTGTGCACTGTCCGCCAGGGAACTCCAAAGATGTTGAGTGGTAGAGGTCCCTTGTAAGTAGGGCTTTATTGAACAGGTACTGCCTTTATCCAAAGATAACACACCATTCACGATGAAGATCAGTGAGTGAATCCTAAGATGAAGCTGTTAGAACAGCATGCCTACTACCTTTTTGTACTTTAATGAGATTGGCCCAGACCATTGCAAACATCTGGCACGAACTTGCAGATGCCGAGATGGAATGCGGGTGTGACCCTCCCCATTCACCTCATCTGCAGATGCTACTGAATGCTCGTTATTCACGCAAGGCCTTTCATCCAGGGATGTCTGAGCTCAGAAGCAGGGTCTTGAGTCTTGAAGAAGCAAAGGTACAGATCTGACTTGTCATTAGAAGGAACAGTGACCTGCCTCATGAAGTTCAGACACTTGTCTTGTCAGAACCTTGGACATGCCACCTAATCTCTTCGAGGCCCAGGTTACTACTCAGAGGTCAGAAGAGTTTTAACCAGGTTGGTTGCCAAGGTCAGGGTCACAACTAGATCTCTAGGTTCTCTACCTTGGGCAGGTTCTGTAAGACCCAGAGAGTGTCAAGGTAGATTTTCTTTGGTGTTCAAATGAATTAACCACTATAAATTCCTACACTTTACAGAAGAAATCTGTAATGTGGGCCATAGGCCTTAATCTGAAATTGGATGGATAGACTGTCTTATTCTAACATGTGAAGAGGAAGAAATGTCCTAGGTTTGTACTGTCCAATATGGCAGCCACTAGCTACATGTTTGAATTTTAATTTAAGTTAAGCTATTTTAAATTAAAATTTCAGTTCCTCAGTCACACTAGTCATATTTCCAGTGCTCAGTAGCCACTCACATGTGACCAGTGTCTACCGTGTTGGGCAGTGCAGACATAGAGTTGCAGAAAGTCTATTGCTCAGCACAGCTCTAGACCTTTGCCCAGATCACCAACTGCAGCTCCTTGTCCCTTAGTGCAGGGCATAGATGCTTGTGCCCTAGGGCAACCATGTCCATCTTTGGGGAATGAAAATATGGATTAAATCCCATTTGGAAAAAGCAGTGCAAGAACCCTTCAGGCAATGGATGTTGGCATTGAGCAAGAGTCTGAGAGATGGGATGGGGGGTGTTAAAGAATTAAGAAATACCTGTGCCTTGGGCCTTGACTAGACCTGAGCTTCTGTAGGACACAGGGCCCCTAGAGGAGGCTTCCTCAGAGAGATTGTCACCCCATGCACAGCTGATCCCAGTGATGGAAAAGTATGAGAGGAGCAGGACTGCCCTAGTCCCCAGAAAATCGGGGACCCTGTCCACATTCAGTGGTGGGGAAAAGGGTAGTCATGCTGGGCCCATGTTACAGAAGAGAAACTTGTTACATAGCAAGTCAGAGGCAGAAGGCGGGGGGGGCGGCGGGGGAGGGCAGCAGGTTGTAATTCAGACTTTCTGGAAATAAGTGAAAGGGTAACCACCCTGACAGTGGGCTCCTTAGGTACAGGTCTGTGCAATCAAAGCCAGCTTATGTTTTGAGGCATAAGCTTGAATGTTAGTAAGAAAATACCAGTGATACAGTGAGAAGGCTTTTCTACAGATTTGGCACGTCGGTTCTGCCTTTCCTGTCAGCCCTGCTGGCCAGGGACCCATGCATATGGGGAAGGGAAGAAATCAGAGGCAGATGGCAAAAGGAGTGACATTTTAGCTGCCATCTGGAAGCCACCTGTGAAGGGAATCACCTTTCTCTTTTGGACTTATTTCCAGGTGCAGCTGCAGGGGATGACACCGAAGATGCGAGCACCGAGTTCACGGACAGCATTGAGGAGGAGGCTGCACACAACAGCCACCAGCAAGTAAGTCTGAGTCAGGTTCTGGGTCCCAGGGTGGAAGACTCGTAACTCTTTGGGGTCTGGTGCTTTCCTGCAGCTCTTGTGGACCGAGCGTGAGAAGCTATCTTTTTATATAAACCACTTCCCAGTCTTCTCCCTGCCCTCCCTGAGCTCCCCAGCCACTTTGCCAACCTCTATCTTCACTCCATTTTTCTCTCCAATACACTCTTTTGCTTTTACTCCTTCTGTTTCTTACCCCTGCTCTCTCTGCCCCTTCACTGGCCTTTGTCCCTATGTACCATCTATAGCTGTAGCTCCAAGAGAATTTTTACTTATAACGAGACCACAGACACTTTCCCTCTTGGGCTTTTGTAACTGAAACACACCACTGAAGACAGAGAGTCAAAGAAAGGCTACTTGGGGAGGTGGCAGGGCCTGCGACCTGCTTTGGGAGAGTGCTCTCTGAGAAAGTCTAAGAGGATTGGATCATTCTCAGTGAAATCTCATCATACAAAAGAGAACTTTGTTGGGAAATCTGACAAACCACCCAGGTCATGGCACATCAGTGACCAAGAGATGGCACTTCAAGAGCAAGCCCCTGTCAAACCTCAACTTGGAACTCAAGGCTGAAACACTGTTCTCACCAACCATCAATGATGAAAAAAAAAGCATATTCTCAAGCTCAAGAATGTAATGGCCTGGACCTCAGAGATTAAGTCACCAGTAGTGATCCCTGACACTCACTGGTACTCCTTTGTGTCTCCACCTTGCCCAGTGACATTTAGCCATCACATCTCCTACATGGACCATGCCCGTGACTTAAGGAGAAAGTGGATTTTTGGTATCTGTCCTTCTTGCAGAAGCAGCTGGGTATTTCCAGTGATAACTTTCTTGGGGGTATTAGGAAAACTATAGGGGAAATGAGGCTTTCTGAGTCTGCCTGTACATCCGCACAAGAAAAAGAGGAGACATCTAATAAACCAACAAGAAGAGCCCAAGGGAGCAATCCCCAACTCTTGCAGGATTTGGCACAGTCTTTGGTTCTTGACATGAGTAGTTGTCTGGAATATCTCAAGTCCTCAACACAGATTATTTACCTTCTATCAAGATCCTCTCTTTATTGCTCTAGACATACCTGACCCTTGCTTTCCCCTTGAGTTTCTGCATGAGCTCTACTTACCATTTTACTTTAACAGCTTCTTCTGAGTCCTCCTAGCCAATGCTTGTAACTTTACTTATGTACCCCACAGCCCCTTTGCACTGGTCCCTCTGCCTCTCGCTTCCTGATTTCACTGAGGACTCTGGGTGAGCGAGAGGGATCTTCAGGATGACCAAATGTCCACCCTAAGACAGCTATATTGGGATGTCAGCAGGTTATTGCTACTGTGGGAAGGATTGACCTTAGGATAAATGAACAAGAGACACATAAGACAAGAGCCAGGTTCTGAGAAGTCCTTCATTCTAATTCTCAGTTGTAGGCAAACTGGTTAGTAAAGTCATTTCTTCCTTAACCTTCTTTCCTATAGTCTGCATGGAGACAATGACCAGAGCACATTTTGAGAAGGTCAGTTCAACCCTGAAGTAAACCTTTACACTGGGGCATTTGTATTTTTCTTGCAACATCTTCCCTATTACTTGGCATAGGAGATAATAAATTATGGGTTAAAAAACCTTTGGATTGGGGCTTGGCTCATGATTGACAGGATATCTTTCGTAAGCACCATTTTGCTTTCCATCACCTTTTCTTGAAACTCTAATCTTCAGTTTGGGGTAAGAGGTGTGTGAAATCATTGTAAATTTACTTCAACTTTTCTGGAGCTTGAGGGTGTGACTCTTCTGCCACAAATTAAATAAAGCTTGTTTTGCCATAACTGTTTTGTGTCCAGATTCTCAAAAATGTGTTTGCTTGTATCCAGGGAAATAGTCCGTTGAGATTAGGTTCTGAGCTTCTTTTAGTTGTGTCCTTAGAAGGTTGGCTTTGTTCTCGACACAAAGCTCCCTTCCTACCTCAGGCATACACACAAGTCCCCTAACAAACACACCCAACTTTGTGTTTCTTCCAAGGCAAGAACCACCTTTTGGCTACAGCAAGTAGCTTTATCCTTATGTATGAACTCACCCACCTCAGGAAGTCTCAGGTCCAGCCATGGTGGTAATTTCCAGTCTCAATCAAATGTAAAATCTATAATAAATACCTAGGGAATTCCTGGGAAAGAAACTAGCATAATCAGTTATTATCTTTCTTCTTTGAACTTTTGCAATGGAAAAAAATTAATCAAGAATCAAGATTAAAATCAAAGGAGAGAAAAATGAGTAGACTTAGTGTGATGAACTTGAGAAAAGAATAGTTTTAATGCCCCTAATGCTATCAGAGAACTGATTTACATTATGAGAGATGTGAAGCAATAAGGTAAAAGCAACACAACTCTCTTCAAACAAGAGATCAGAGCTGCATGTAGACCTGCATGGGGTTAATGGAAATCCAGCACACAAAACTTTCTGGAAATAAGTGAAAGGGTAACCACCCTGACAGTGGGCTCCTTAGGTACAGGTCTGTGCAATCAAAGCCAGCTTATGTTTTGAGGCATAAGCTTGAATGTTAGTAAGAAAATACCAGTGATACAGTGAGAAGGCTTTTCTACAGATTTGGCACGTCGGTTCTGCCTTTCCTGTCAGCCCTGCTGGCCAGGGACCCATGCATATGGGGAAGGGAAGAAATCAGAGGCAGATGGCAAAAGGAGTGACATTTTAGCTGCCATCTGGAAGCCACCTGTGAAGGGAATCACCTTCTCTTTTGGAACAGCATGCCTACTACCTTTTTGTACTTTAATGAGATTGGCCCAGACCATTGCAAACATCTGGCACGAACTTGCAGATGCCGAGATGGAATGCGGGTGTGACCCTCCCCATTCACCTCATCTGCAGATGCTACTGAATGCTCGTTATTCACGCAAGGCCTTTCATCCAGGGATGTCTGAGCTCAGAAGCAGGGTCTTGAGTCTTGAAGAAGCAAAGGTACAGATCTGACTTGTCATTAGAAGGAACAGTGACCTGCCTCATGAAGTTCAGACACTTGTCTTGTCAGAACCTTGGACATGCCACCTAATCTCTTCGAGGCCCAGGTTACTACTCAGAGGTCAGAAGAGTTTTAACCAGGTTGGTTGCCAAGGTCAGGGTCACAACTAGATCTCTAGGTTCTCTACCTTGGGCAGGTTCTGTAAGACCCAGAGAGTGTCAAGGTAGATTTTCTTTGGTGTTCAAATGAATTAACCACTATAAATTCCTACACTTTACAGAAGAAATCTGTAATGTGGGCCATAGGCCTTAATCTGAAATTGGATGGATAGACTGTCTTATTCTAACATGTGAAGAGGAAGAAATGTCCTAGGTTTGTACTGTCCAATATGGCAGCCACTAGCTACATGTTTGAATTTTAATTTAAGTTAAGCTATTTTAAATTAAAATTTCAGTTCCTCAGTCACACTAGTCATATTTCCAGTGCTCAGTAGCCACTCACATGTGACCAGTGTCTACCGTGTTGGGCAGTGCAGACATAGAGTTGCAGAAAGTCTATTGCTCAGCACAGCTCTAGACCTTTGCCCAGATCACCAACTGCAGCTCCTTGTCCCTTAGTGCAGGGCATAGATGCTTGTGCCCTAGGGCAACCATGTCCATCTTTGGGGAATGAAAATATGGATTAAATCCCATTTGGAAAAAGCAGTGCAAGAACCCTTCAGGCAATGGATGTTGGCATTGAGCAAGAGTCTGAGAGATGGGATGGGGGGTGTTAAAGAATTAAGAAATACCTGTGCCTTGGGCCTTGACTAGACCTGAGCTTCTGTAGGACACAGGGCCCCTAGAGGAGGCTTCCTCAGAGAGATTGTCACCCCATGCACAGCTGATCCCAGTGATGGAAAAGTATGAGAGGAGCAGGACTGCCCTAGTCCCCAGAAAATCGGGGACCCTGTCCACATTCAGTGGTGGGGAAAAGGGTAGTCATGCTGGGCCCATGTTACAGAAGAGAAACTTGTTACATAGCAAGTCAGAGGCAGAAGGCGGGGGGGGCGGCGGGGGAGGGCAGCAGGTTGTAATTCAGACTTTCTGGAAATAAGTGAAAGGGTAACCACCCTGACAGTGGGCTCCTTAGGTACAGGTCTGTGCAATCAAAGCCAGCTTATGTTTTGAGGCATAAGCTTGAATGTTAGTAAGAAAATACCAGTGATACAGTGAGAAGGCTTTTCTACAGATTTGGCACGTCGGTTCTGCCTTTCCTGTCAGCCCTGCTGGCCAGGGACCCATGCATATGGGGAAGGGAAGAAATCAGAGGCAGATGGCAAAAGGAGTGACATTTTAGCTGCCATCTGGAAGCCACCTGTGAAGGGAATCACCTTTCTCTTTTGGACTTATTTCCAGGTGCAGCTGCAGGGGATGACACCGAAGATGCGAGCACCGAGTTCACGGACAGCATTGAGGAGGAGGCTGCACACAACAGCCACCAGCAAGTAAGTCTGAGTCAGGTTCTGGGTCCCAGGGTGGAAGACTCGTAACTCTTTGGGGTCTGGTGCTTTCCTGCAGCTCTTGTGGACCGAGCGTGAGAAGCTATCTTTTTATATAAACCACTTCCCAGTCTTCTCCCTGCCCTCCCTGAGCTCCCCAGCCACTTTGCCAACCTCTATCTTCACTCCATTTTTCTCTCCAATACACTCTTTTGCTTTTACTCCTTCTGTTTCTTACCCCTGCTCTCTCTGCCCCTTCACTGGCCTTTGTCCCTATGTACCATCTATAGCTGTAGCTCCAAGAGAATTTTTACTTATAACGAGACCACAGACACTTTCCCTCTTGGGCTTTTGTAACTGAAACACACCACTGAAGACAGAGAGTCAAAGAAAGGCTACTTGGGGAGGTGGCAGGGCCTGCGACCTGCTTTGGGAGAGTGCTCTCTGAGAAAGTCTAAGAGGATTGGATCATTCTCAGTGAAATCTCATCATACAAAAGAGAACTTTGTTGGGAAATCTGACAAACCACCCAGGTCATGGCACATCAGTGACCAAGAGATGGCACTTCAAGAGCAAGCCCCTGTCAAACCTCAACTTGGAACTCAAGGCTGAAACACTGTTCTCACCAACCATCAATGATGAAAAAAAAAGCATATTCTCAAGCTCAAGAATGTAATGGCCTGGACCTCAGAGATTAAGTCACCAGTAGTGATCCCTGACACTCACTGGTACTCCTTTGTGTCTCCACCTTGCCCAGTGACATTTAGCCATCACATCTCCTACATGGACCATGCCCGTGACTTAAGGAGAAAGTGGATTTTTGGTATCTGTCCTTCTTGCAGAAGCAGCTGGGTATTTCCAGTGATAACTTTCTTGGGGGTATTAGGAAAACTATAGGGGAAATGAGGCTTTCTGAGTCTGCCTGTACATCCGCACAAGAAAAAGAGGAGACATCTAATAAACCAACAAGAAGAGCCCAAGGGAGCAATCCCCAACTCTTGCAGGATTTGGCACAGTCTTTGGTTCTTGACATGAGTAGTTGTCTGGAATATCTCAAGTCCTCAACACAGATTATTTACCTTCTATCAAGATCCTCTCTTTATTGCTCTAGACATACCTGACCCTTACTTTCCCCTTGAGTTTCTGCATGAGTTCTACTTACCATTTTACTTTAACAGCTTCTTCTGAGTCCTCCTAGCCAATGCTTGTAACTTTACTTATGTACCCCACAGCCCCTTTGCACTGGTCCCTCTGCCTCTCACTTCCTGATTTCACTGAGGACTCTGGGTGAGCGAGAGGGATCTTCAGGATGACCAAATGTCCACCCTAAGACATATTGGGATGTCAGCAGGTTATTGCTACTGTGGGAAGGATTGACTTTAGAATAAATGAACAAGAGACACATAAGACAAGAGCCAGGTTCTGAGAAGTCCTTCATTCTAATTCTCAGTTGTAGGCAAACTGGTTAGTAAAGTCATTTCTTCCTTAACCTTCTTTCCTATAGTCTGCATGGAGACAATGACCAGAGCACATTTTGAGAAGGTCAGTTCAACCCTGAAGTAAACCTTTACACTGGGGCATTTGTATTTTTCTTGCAACATCTTCCCTATTACTTGGCATAGGAGATAATAAATTATGGTTTAAAAAATCTTTGGATTGGGGCTTGACTCATGATTGACAAAGTATATACCTATTGGATGAAGGCTATCTTGCGTAAGCACCATTTTGCTTTCCATCACCTTTTCTTGAAACTCTAATCTTCAGTTTGGGGTAAGAGGTGTGTGAAATCATTGTAAATTTACTTCAACTTTTCTGGAGCTTGAGGGTGTGACTCTTCTGCCACAAATTAAATAAAGCTTGTTTTGCCATAACTGTTTTGTGTCCAGATTCTCAAAAATGTGTTTGCTTGTATCCAGGGAAATAGTCCGTTGAGATTAGGTTCTGAGCTTCTTTTAGTTGTGTCCTTAGAAGGTTGGCTTTGTTCTCGACACAAAGCTCCCTTCCTACCTCAGGCATACACACAAGTCCCCTAACAAACACACCCAACTTTGTGTTTCTTCCAAGGCAAGAACCACCTTTTGGCTACAGCAAGTAGCTTTATCCTTATGTATGAACTCACCCACCTCAGGAAGTCTCAGGTCCAGCCATGGTGGTAATTTCCAGTCTCAATCAAATGTAAAATCTATAATAAATACCTAGGAAATTCCTGGGAAAGAAACTAGCATAATCAATTATTATCTTTCTTCTTTGAACTTTTGCAATGGAAAAAAATTAATCAAGATTAAAATCAAAGGAGAGAAAAATGAGTAGACTTAGTGTGATGAACTTGAGAAAAGAATAGTTTTAATGCCCCTAATGCTATCAGAGAACTGATTTACATTATGAGACATGTAAAGCAATAAGGTAAAAGCAACACAACTCTCTTCAAACAAGAGATCAGAGCTGCATGTAGACCTGCATGGGGTTAATGGAAATCCAGCACACAAAAAAAGTTGAGTTATACCCTGACGTAATAGAACAGATGAATTAGAAAATGGGGGGAAGGGGGTGAGAGAAAAAAGCTATAAGAGATACAATTAACAATAGACTTAAAGGATTTATACTACCACCACACATACTTGGGGTTTTATTGGGGGAGGGAGGAAATATTAACTTTCATGCATTTGTATTTAAAATTTAAAGACAAATTAGCCAAAGTAAGCTCCCTTTGACCTGAAAATATGAAACCCAGATCATCCTGGGAACAAATCAGATCTCTCTTTTCTCATTTTATAGTGGGAAATTAAACCAAATGGACTTTATGGTCCCTTTTAGTGTTAATATTCCATGAGTCTTAATTTTGTATTTAAATAAAATGGGTATATTTAAATCAATAGAAAAATATATACATCCAGAAGGTACATTTAAAAATAGGTGGCTATCATTAAAATCAGACATTATTTTTAAGCAGAAGGAACCTTTAATGTTTAGAAAAGAACAAATGTTGCCCTAGCTGGTTTGGCTCGGTGGGTAGAGCGCCCTGCCCTCCCTGAGCTCCCCAGCCACTTTGCCAACCTCTATCTTCACTCCATTTTTCTCTCCAATACACTCTTTTGCTTTTACTCCTTCTGTTTCTTACCCCTGCTCTCTCTGCCCCTTCACTGGCCTTTGTCCCTATGTACCATCTATAGCTGTAGCTCCAAGAGAATTTTTACTTATAACGGGGTTCAATTCTGGTCAAGGGCACATGCCCATATCGTGGGCTCGATCCCCAGTAGGGGGCGTGCAGGAGGCAGCCGATCAATGATTCTCATCATTGATGATTCTACCTCTCCCTCTCCCTTCCTCTCTGAAATCAATTAAAAAGAAAGAAAACAAATGTTTCACCCATTTTAAAAGCTGATGCAACATTCAGTTAGTTGCAAAGAGTTTACATAAAAAGATATCACATAGTTTGAATGAGGGCTGAGGTTATAAACTTTCAAACGTGGTTTTATCCAGTCCCCCTTCCTTTATTTTGTCCCAAGTGCCTTGTGGCACATGCAGGGGTGGCCACCAGTCTCACCCAGTTTGGCAGCAGAGGCATAGAGGCAGACATCCCAGAACTTCCCAAATCTCAGGCTCACAATCCCAGGGGGGATTGGATGCCTAGGAAATGAGCAATTGTTTTTGCTCATCTCTTTCATCTTTGACATGGATGTTCATCTCGTCACAATCCCAACTGCTATGCTCCTAATCACCATTGCACATACATGTCATGAGTCAACCCCACCACATACCTGCAGCCTAACTTACTATGCTCTGTCATGGAGTCAAAAGCAAAAGTCAATGGCTTTGTGCCAAGCCAAGCAGCTCTATCGATCATCGATCTATTTAAACTCCTCTGGACTCTGTTCTGCTCAACATATTTGTGACCTGAATGAAGGAATAAAGCATTTAATTAATTCTGCAACGTATCCCTAATCACAACCCCACTATATGGTTTATGGAGATGCACATAAATATATTAATGACTTTGATCATTGGGAAATGATTTTGTACAGCCAGAATGAAGTTATAAGTGACAAGTACAATTTATAGAGACAAGTTATATTTATAGAGATACAAGATGACAAATAACATTTCTGAGAAATAGCTATGGGGAGAGGTGGGAAGTTGGGAGGTCAAAATTGAGAGGAAACAGAAGTCAAGATGACATTGAGATATATGATTAATACTGGACCTCCAGGCAAATTCTTGTACTAAAATAATTAGTCATAAACTAAGTTGATTATCATACTCAAATTTGTTTTCTACACTTTTAAATGCATGGGGGAAACTGGAGAGGAGCCCAAGATGAAAATTAAGGAAGTCTAAAAGTTAAAAATTCTCATTTGAGGGAAAACCATCCAATCCACTTTAGTTGAAACATTGAGGAGTAATGTCAAGAGTATCCTAAAAGAAAGGGGGGAGGGGGGAGTTGGGAAGTTGTTTCCGCTTAGATTTGCAGAGAGAGTTTCACCCGCAGCATCAGCACAAGGGTGATTAACCAACAAGTTAACTTAGCTGCTGGCAGGTGGCCTCACAGTAGCTTCTCAGTACTTGTGGGGTGTGGTTCTCCTGCAGCCAATGAAATTCAGCTTGTTGTGTCTTACCTGCAGCCCCATCCGTATTCTGATTCTGTCACTGACTCCTGACTGCCCAGCACCCTGAGCCCTCCCTCTTGATCATCCTCTTTGGAGTCTGAGTTATAGGCACAGTCTGAGTTTTTGAGCGCTGGTGTCTCAAGCCTTGATCTTCCCAGTCACAGACTCCAGGGTCATGGAGCTGATGAAACTTCCTGACTTGTGAGAAGATTCAGGGGACTCAGCCCCCTCAGGAGCGAAATGACAGCACGCATACTTTCCAGTCCTATTTAAACCTCATTTGTTCAAATTTTTATTTCTTTATTATATGCTTTTGTGTTTTTGTTTTTCTCACCCACCTCTGGAATCTCCTCTTCCTGCCCATGGCAACAATTCTCCCTGCTCCCTGGGTGTGTCCTCCCCACCCAAACCAGTCTCCAGGGCCCTTCTGGCTGAGGAAGGCCTTGGAAGGCGTTCACTTTAGGTCTGCCTTTTTTTGTTCCCATTCGAGGCTGCCCTGGAGATCTGATGTTCCTCTTGGATCCTCTTTAATGGCCTGACTTCTTTAAATCATGATTTTCTTTCAGCTCATCAAAGTGGCTTTGGAGAAGAGTCTGGCAGCTGTGGAGAGCCAGAACATGTCTCTCTGCCCTCCGTCCCCGACAGGAGGGGGGAGTAACAGGGGTCTTCAGGAGGAAATGCTCCACCTGAGAGCTGAGGTCCACCAGCACCTCGAGGAGAAGAGGAAAGCCGAGGGGGAACTGAAGGAGCTGAAGGCTCAAATCGAGGAAGCAGGATTCTCCTCTGTGGCCCACATCAGGTAGGACAACCCCCAGACCGGGGAGCCTGCCAATGGAGAGGCCACCATAACCGAGGGACTTGCCTTGCTGCAGCCAAGGCATCTGCCCCTGCCATGGGGCTTCTTGGTCCCCATCCCAGGCTCCATGCGTTTATGTTTCTACAAGTCCTTTAGAGAAAAGTGCATAATACTGGATAATGGTGATTTCTTCCCTTGATTCTACTTGTTAAAATGTGTTTTACTGCCCTAGCCTGAGGACAGAAGCATCCCAGGTTCAATTCCAGTCAAGGGCACATGCCTGGGTTGCAGGCTCGATCCCCAGTAGGGAGTGTGAGGGAGGCAGCCGATCAATGATTCTCATCATTGATGTTTCTATCTCTTCCTCCCTCTCCCTTGCTCTCTGAAATCAATAAAATATATTAATATTTTTTTTTTAAACTCTGTTATATGTAAACTTAGTTGAGCTGTCATAGGTAAGAACAGTATATCTCTTTTGATCCTACAGTTGAACCTACAATCAAACCATATGTACATATTTTTATGGATTATTTTCCTTTCCCCTGACAGGGTTACTGACTTGACACTCTGATTTGTTTAACTCTCCACCCAACTTTAAGATTGGCTGATATTGTAGCAGATAGAATTTATGAAATTCTTAGCCTATCTCTTGAGATGATTTTGTTGAGCTTTGCTTTCATTATTGTGAAAACAATAGGATTTTCCCCAAAGCATAAAGTTAGAATATTAAATATTCTTTTCTATACCATACACATGCCCTTTATCTCCTTCTTACACCTCCATTTTGGTAAATTACAGCTCCCTTTGTCTCCATTGAGGAAACACTCTCATAGACAGTGTATCTGAGTCCATGTCCTAAAGCATTTTCTTCCTTAATTCATATTAGACAAGCTCTTCTGTTGGTTCCAAGACTTCAGGATTCTGAGAAATTCAATCTAGAAGCATAGCCAGCTGGCGATGCTTCAAGTTGTGAATTACTTATTTTCTTTGCCTCTTCTACCCAGCAGTTCTCAATTTAGCACACGTAAGAAGCACCTGTGGAACTTAAGTAGAAATGTAAATTCCTAGGCCTCAGCCCTAAAGCACTTCATAGGATTCTGATGTTAGTCTTCGCAGGGCTGCAGCTGTACAACAGAATTAGATGACTTGTCCACGGCAGACCCTCAGCTAACCAACACACACATGTAATTTCATTGAAGCATCCAAGAACTCCACTAGGTCACTGCTTCGATCCTTATCTATATATATATAAAAGGCTAATATGCAAAGTTTCCCCTTGGGAGTTCGACTGAGAGACCGGGAGTTTGACCGCTCGTTATGACATGTGCTGACCATCAGGGGGCGGCGTGGAATGAAGGAAAGACCCAGCTGGCAGCTGGGGAAGGAAGGCCCCAAATGGCCCTGATCGTTGGCCAGGCCTAGGGACCCTACCCGTCCACAAATTTCGTGCACCGGGCCTCTAGTTTTATATAAAAGAAGACGGAGGCTCAGAGAGGTTAAGTGAATTACCTTGTTAAAGCTATGCTTTTTATTGCTTCCACCATCCCTACTAAAGGATTTGGTGGGAGGAAAAGGTGGATCTAGAATGTCTTGGTGAAAATTATTTGTTGAGTCTATTTTATTTCTCCTGCAAATGCGAATGTTTAATGTGGAGGCTCTGGGGCACGGAGCGAACAGGACAGACATCTGCTCTCATGAAGATGGTCTCCTATCACAGGAGTCATGAAGCAATTAATTCCATAGTGTGTTTGAAGTTCTGATTTGCATTATTTATTTCTGCCATGTTCCTAGGTCCCAATTTCTCATCCAGTGGTTGAAAACTGACTGATGCTAATTAAGAGAACTGTAGAATGCATAATAATAAATGTGTCCCAGGCTAGGTCTTTATGTTTTTTTCTTAATGGTGTATTCCAGGGGCCATTAAAAATTAGAACATGAGGCTGTGTGGCCGGGTAAAGACAACAAAACCAGGTGCTTAAGTCCAAGATTTTTAATGAGGGTGTGGGCAAGTCTCTGACTCTTCCTGAGCTTTGGTTTTCTTGTCTATAGAATAAGAGTGTTGTTATAGGTCTCGGAGGTTACTTCATGCTCTGGGGTGTCTCTGAGTCTATGATGGACTGAGATGTGGGTAAGGGGGATTTCAGGAACTCGGGCCAAGACCAGATTTGGCCCCTGATGGTGTATGTTCCCTGCAGAAACACCATGCTGAGCCTTTGCCTTGAGAACGCAGAGCTGAAAGAGCAGATGGGAGAAGCAATGTCTGATGGATGGGAGATGGAGGAGGACAAGGAGAAGGGCGAGGCGATGGTGGAGACGGTCGTGGCCAAAGGGGGTCTGAATGAGAAGAGCCTTCAGGCTGAGTTCAGAAAGCTCCAGAGAAAACTGAAGAATGCCCACAACATCATCAGCCTCCTCAAGGAACAGCTGGTGCTGAGCAGCAGGGAAGGGAATAGCAAGCTGAGTCCAGAGCTCCTTGTGCACCTGGCCAGGGAGATCGACAGAATGAACACAGAGCCAGTGTGTTCTCCTGGGAAGCACCAAGGCCAAGAAGAGGAGGACGTGACCGGGAGGCCCTGCCCCAGACCCCAGAGCCTTGACCTTGGGGCTGCCCTTGCAGTGGATGCCCACCAAGTAAGTGTGGGATTAGATGGAATGAAAGGCCTTTGGAGAAGGGCTGGAGTTGTCAGTTTCTTCCTTAAGCAGCTCTGCCTTGTGGGTCCAGAGGGACTAAGGGAAGGGCACCTTTGCACCACAGGCAGTGGTCATAATATTCCTCACACATTCAGGCTTAGGAAGGCTTTTGTAACATTATACCATAAATATTTCTCAAGTAATTAATTTCCCAGAAATGTATCTTGAGTGCTTAATTTTCTAGTAGCATACTAGGTATTGGCGGCAGGCAACATGACCTGGTCTCTGTCCTCCAGGTACTCAGTATGGAGGGAGAGCTGGACAGAAGCAGTTCACTGCAATAGGAGGTGGTGTAGGGATGCCCAGGGTTGTAAGGCAGCCCAGACAAGCGGTGTGTAATGACATCTTTTCCTTATCACTGCCATTTCCTCTCCCCCTTCTTATTGAATTTATTAGGGTAATGCTGGTTAACAAAATAATACAGGTTTCAGACGCACAATTCCACAGCACACCATCTGTACACTGCATTGTGTGATCACCAGCCCAAGTCAAGTCTCTGTCCATCACCATTTATCCTCCCATCCCCTCCTCCACTTCCCGTCACCGCCCGCCCCTGCCATTTTCATCACAGCTCCTCCCAGGGGTCTGTGGCTGGGTCTCAGAGGGGTTAGCAGGCTCCTTTTAAAGGGGAGGGGCTGTGCTGAGGATGAAGAAAAAATGGAGAACCCTGAGGATTCAGAAAGGACAACTGAGGCAGGAATGCAGGGGCAGATGAGTGGAGGTTTCTGCCCCTTCTCTTTCCAACCGTTGAACATTTACTGAGGGCTCCTCCGAAGACTCGGTTGGCCCCGTGCCGTGTGCTGTAGATCCCGAGGTGAATAAAACATTATCCCAGCTCCCCAGGCTCCATCTGGAAAGCAAGATGCTGCCAAATGGCATGAGCAGGGCTGTGGCAGACACTTGAGTAAAGTCCATGGGGCTCAGAGAGGAAGTGGGCCTTGCTCCTGGGGCTGACCTCAGACCGCCCCGATCCCTTCACTTCCCTGTGCTGGCTCCTCTTCACAGCTGGATGACCAGCCCCAAGCCCGTGACCCTGGGCCACCATCGGAATTGAGCCTCCCAAGACCCACCCAGCACCTGCGCTCCCAGCTGGCGCAGTGCAGGCAGCGCTATCAGGATCTGCAGGAGAAGCTGCTGGTAGCGGAAGCCACTGTGTCAGCCCAGGCCAGTCAGCTGGAAAAGTTCAGGCTCATGCTCAGTAAGTCCTGTGTTCCCGCCACCAAGCGTCTGTCTTCCCCCTGAGAAGCCACATGCCTTGCGGACTTCATGTCTTCCCCAACCTTGAAACAGACTTACCCCTGACCATGGTCCTAGCATCGTGGAGGAGGATATTTAACTTTAATTGCAGGTGGCAGAGAAGAAGGGATGGATAAAGCAGTTTTCAGTGAGTTAGGGAGGCAGTGGACTAACAGCTGGGTTTGATGATCTCTGATGTGGTCAGCACACGGCCTTACCTCACTCAGCACATACTGATAGTTTCTCTGCTGTTCCTCGGCACCACGTCCGATTCTTCCAAAATATATCATCACTGTTGGTCTAGAATCAGTGCTTTCCAGCAGAAGGCGCTGCAGTGACAGAGTGTTCTCTGTCTGTGTCACGAGTGGTTATTGACCACATGAAATGGGGCTAGTTCATCTTGGGAAGTTTACCTTTTCTTTAACTTTAACTAATTTAACACCAAATAGTCACATGTGGCTAGTAGCTACCATATTGGACAGTGCAGAGCTAGATGTCTTGGGATTCTAAGTTAGTTCAGTGTCATTCAGGTATTTCCTGAGCTTCTGTGGCTAAGGCACTTGCTAGTCTCACTGGGGTTCCTAGGGATGAGAGTATGCAATATTTGCCGTCTAACGATGTCTGGTCCCAACTAAGTCTGGGTCAACGTAGGTGAGATCATCAGTGGCAAACACTGGCTCACCCTGGTGGAGGGAAGTCGTGCTGCCTGGAGTGGGTGGTCTCTTCCACTCCATGAGTCCAAAGAAGCGTATATCCCACTCTGGATCTGACTTCCCGCCTCCAAGGGCTAGGGTGTGTGCCACCGAGTAAGTGAGATACTCTCTGTCTCTCGAGCAGGTGAATCCCTGGTGAAGCAGGACAGCAAGCAGGTTCAGGTGGACCTCCAGGACCTGGGCTACGAGACCTGTGGCCGGAGTGAGAATGAGGCTGAGCGGGAGGAGAGCACCAGCCCAGGTAAGGCTCACCTTCCCTCCCCATTCAGCCTTCACATCTGGGTGCTTTTGGCCAGTCCCACACCTGATGAGGAGGAGGGGTGAGGGGGTGTTGTAAACTGAAGAGGACACAGGACCAGAGAGGGACAGGAAGTTTGGGTGAAAACTCTTACCCCAGATGAAGCCGAGAGTGAGTTTGAATTCCTAGACGTAGTTTCCAGCATACTACTTTAAAGAAAACACTGTTCTAGCCAACTGATTATTATAGGGAAAAATGCTAAGGCTTACTTAGGAATGAAAAGACCAAATGAGCTTTTGGGAATATGCAAACCATAAGTTAAAAAATTGTATTTCTACTATAAAATGACTTTGATTGTAGGGATACCCACCAACTGGCAATCTAAAAGAGGAGAGAAAACACTTTGTAAAACAGAGGGAGGCCACACCTGACTTGCAGGGCTGTTGTGAGGATAGTAATACTGCATTTGAATGCTAGTCCCGTGCCAGGGCTGAATAAAGAGCTGCTCAAATGTTACTCTCACCATTGTCCTTGTGACCACACTGCCTCCCCTGAAGGGCGAGGCTATGGAGCATGCCCAGCTTTACTCAGGAAGGCGGCTTTGTCTTTTCCCAGAGTGCGAGGAGCAGGACAGCCCCAGGGAAACAGTCCTCATGGAGGGGCTGTGCTCTCAGCAGGAGCGCCTGGGCCTGACCCTGGCCGGCCCCCCCAAGAGGAAGCCCTTGGAGAGCCAGCTGGGGAAGCAGGAGGAGTTCCAGGCATATGGAAAGTCTGAAGACATCTCTGTCCTCCGGAAGGACATCAAAGATCTGAAGGCCCAGCTGCAGACCGCCAACAAGATCATTCAAAACCTCAAGAGCCGGGTCCGGTCTCTCTCCGTCACCAGCGACTACTCGTCCAGTCTGGAGAGACCCCGCAAGCTAAAGGCCGTTGACACCCTCGAGGGATCTTCACCTCATAGTGTCACTGACGAGGACGAGGGGTGGTTGTCTGATGGCACTGGGGCTTTCTATTCCCCAGGCCTTCAGGCTAAGAAGGACCTGGAGAGTCTGATTCAGAGGGTGTCCCAGCTGGAGGCCCAGCTCCCGAAGTCCGGACTGGAAGGGAAGCTGGCTGAGGAGCTGAGATCAGCCTCGTGGCCTGGGTAAGGAGGGCATTCCTCGGACCCTTATCAGATAGAGGATGGCGGAGTTTGTGCTTGCAGTAGGGTAGCCAGGCAGGTGGAAGGGAAAACCCAGAAGGGCACTTATTTCAGTGGTCGACCAAGTCTGAAGAAAGGACTGGGAGGCATCCAGGGCATTGGGTGGCGGCCCCGAATGGGCAATACCAGGTCTCTGGGATTTCCTCCTGGGAATGTATTAGGAAAGTGACAGTGGGCACAGTGTAATAGTAAGACTGAAGGTAGGCTGCCTGGGTTTGAATCCTGGCTCTGGTACTCACTAGCTGTGTAACCTATCTAGTCTTTCTGAGTCTGTCTTCTTACTTTTTTAAAAAATATGTATATATATATATATATAAATAAATATATATGTGTGTGTGTATATATATGTATATATATATGTATATATATATTGATTTCAGAGAGGAAGGGAGAGGGAGAAATAGAAACATCAATGATGAGAGAGAATCATCAATTGGCTGCCTTCTGCATCCCCCTCCCGCCCCCCCGGGGATCAAGCTCGCAACCCAGCATGTGTGCCCTTGACGGGAATCAAACCCAGACCCTTCAGTCCATAGGCCAACGCTCTATCCACTGAGCCAAACCGACTAGAGCCTTATGATTCATTTTTGGGCCATATGACTAACATATATAAAACAGTGGAAGAAAGTGGCATAAATTGTTTGATGCAATAGTCTCTCAGAGCAGAATTTACTCTTAAATACGTCCTTTGGTTTATGTGCCAGAATTCCACTTGGTGGGGAGATCCTTAGAGAAGTGCTCACAGAAATCTCCATGGAAGCCCCCATAACTTATCATTCCCTCTTCTTCATTCTTACTCTTTCCTTCTCTTCCCTGCATTAGGAAATATGATTCCCTGATTCAGGATCAGGCTCGAGAACTATCCTACCTACGCCAGAAAATACGAGAAGGGAGAGGTATCTGTTATCTCCTCACCCAGCATGCAAAAGATACAGTCAAGTCTTTTGAGGACCTCCTAAGGAGCAATGACATTGACTACTACCTGGGGCAGAGCTTCCGGGAGCAACTTGCCCAGGGAAGCCAGCTGACAGAGCGGCTCAGCAGCAAACTCAGCACCAGTGAGTTGGCCACAGGGCTTTGGGACATGCTCAGTCACTCTCAGCCTCCACTTCATTCCCTGGGGGCCATTACAAGATCAGGCCTCTTAGAGTAACAAAGGTGGGAGGCACCGCAGAGGCACACACAGGGTTGGAGAGGCCACGGTTACTACTGTAGAAAGCTCATCCTTCATGGAATGTGACCTTTGGGAAGGAGGCTACTTCCATCCAGTGCTAAGGGGAAGAAAGAGAGGTGCTCAGAGGACCTTATGACAGTGGAAAGAGCCCGGAACTTAGAATTCAAGACCCAAGCTCTGGCCTAGATGCTGCCATCAACTTGCTTTGGGCAAATAACTTATCTCTTTGGTGTCTGTGTTTCTTCATGTATTGCATGGTATTGCACACAAAACTAATTCAAATATAGCTAAAGCACCATGCCCTTTTGGACATGGTGTAGGCACCAATTGCCATAGTGCAAGGGCTAGGAAAGTTGGTTATTATTGAAGCTCTTTGCTTAGAGAGAATTTCCTGGGTACAGCAGAATCAGTCTTTGGGGCCAAAGACCCCACGTCTGATAGCAGGTGCCGAAGTGGGACAGGGCTGTTCGTCATCTCAGAGCAAGAGTAGGTTCTACATGAAAGCCGTACAACAGGGAGTCAGTGTGTGGCAGGCGTGGAGGCTGGATTGTCCCAGAGAGAAGCTGGGCACATGCCTTTTCCACTTGTTTGCGTAGATTTAGGGCAGAGGAAGTCATGGTGGGGATCACCAGACCAGGGAAGGTCTGCGGTGAGCTCAGGAAAGCCTGGCGGGTCCCTTCCCTAAAGACGGAATCTGAGGCCTCCCAGAATGATGCTCCCACACACCCTGGACACACACAGAGTAATCGTTCTGTACACAAGTAGGCCCCTGCGTTTGTAATGTGTGAAGTGGAACCTGTTTGTTTTACCGTTTCTTTTCTGAATTTGGTTTGCAGAGGATCATAAAAGTGAGAAAGATCGAGCTGGACTTGAGCCGCTGGCCCTCAGGTAATTCCACATGGACTCTGGTAAAGGGACCAGGAATGAGGCCTGAGGGATGGGTCACAAATTGGGGAGGGGGGGGGGTAGAGGAGGGAATGTTGATTGTAATTAATTCATTTATTCATGGAACACTTTACTGTTGTCTTTAACCTAATTCTTTACTCTCTTTTGATATGATTCTGTTGGTTTCTATTTGCATATTTGTTCTCCAGGCTTGGTAACCTAGAGGCAGTCTGATTAAAAGTATACTAACCATGTTTTAGGGGTTTTGCACCCCCAGGGTCTTCTCTGCTTCCCGCTGTGTGTTTAAAGACCAGGGTGTACTTTTTGCCCAGTTGGCTTCCTCCCCCTCCTCCCCCAGTTGAGTTGGCAGCTAGTTCCTAGCCACCCAATTTCCTTAGGAAAAAAGAATTATATTACAGTTCTTAGTGAAAAAGGCCTAGACAGTGCGGGTCCCTGGGGAGCTCGGTGCCTCAGACACCAGCTTTCTGTGAGTCACTGCATATAGCCTTACCATGCACAATGGCACCTGGGCTCAGAGTTCGTTGTAGCTGCTAGTTGGAGCCACTTTGTGTCATGAGTGTGCTTTAGACCGCACGGTGCTTCTCCAAATGTCCCTGGTGAAGGACAGGGTGCTTTTGTTTTTGCCTTTATTTTCATTTCTAATCCCAGACACACAGGTGGTCTGTACCTCAGTCATGCAGATGGTTTCATCTATATTGCTCCTGGATGTTAAGGCGAGGTCAAGCTGCCATATGGCTCTCAATGCTTTCCTTCCATTCTGTGCTATCTACTTGGAGACAAGTAGCCAACAGTTCTCAGGCTGCAGCCATAGTGGGGACCATACTCTAGGCAGTAGTGCCTTAGAGGGCTGGCCCAGTCCCCGCTAGTCCTCAGCGTATGGTGTGGCCAGTGCCCTGGGTAGCGATTGCTTCCCCTCCCTCTGCGCCCCACCTGCTCCCCACCCCTAATCAGAGATGGGTTGCTTCCATTATTCTCTGCAGGAATGTTCCCTTGACTTCTGTGGCTTTTCCCATGTGGTCCAGTCAGGACCTGCTGGTCTGGGGACCTTGATTTCACCTGCTGTCCTCCCTCCCCCACCAGGCTCCGCAGGGAGCTGCAGGAGAAGGAGAAAGTGATTGAGGTCCTGCAGGCCAAGCTGGACGCCCGGTCCCTCTCACCCTCCAGCAGCCGCGCCCTGTCCGACTCCCCCCGCTCGCCCAGCAGCTCCTCCTTCCTGTCCGAGGAGCTGGAAGCCTGCTCCGACATGGACGTAGCCAGCGAGGACACACACTATGAAGAGAAGAAAACTTCGCCAGGCCACCCAGGTAGCCACCACTTTCTGAATGGTTCCAGCTTTATGTAGGCCCTCCATAACCCAGCCTCATAAATCCACCTGGTGTGGATCAGGCTAAACACGGCTCTGGGACCAAGTGCCCAGTGAGTTAGGATCCTTGCTCTGCTCCTGACTCTACTAGTTACAGTGGCACCAGGTCTCTGGCAGCATGTGCATGAGGTTAGACCCCAGGCGAGCCACAGGGGAGAATGAGACCATGCCGGTGTTTTTGTCCCACTGCCTATGAGCACAGACTCTGACCTCCTTTAAGGTGGGGCCGCTGGTCCTTCCTGCAGCAATCGCATCGGTGGCAGCTCCTGAACAGCGTCCCACAGGTGCTGCCGGTCCCGCCTGGTGTCATTGGAGATGCCATTTTCATGGTTTCAGGGCTCTGGGCCCCGGTATCACCTCTGTGCTGGCTTGCCTCCCCAAGGAGCTCTCTGTACTGAGGAAATGACCCCTGCTCGCAGTGCCTGTGCTTGGAGCTGCCCTGGTACCCTGTTAAATGTAAGGCCAGGCTCCAGTTCTCTGTAGATCATCAAACATTTTCTTTCATTCGTGGGTTTTGTAGATTCCATCCATCACTCAAGTCATTCTGCTGTTCTGTCTTCTACACCATCATCAACCACTGCGCCTCAGGGGGTTAAGGCCAAGCCCAGCAGCAACCCCAGCAGCCTGCCTGCTCCCCAGAACCCCCCGCAGGAGGCCACCCAGGCCCGTCCAGGTATGCAGCGGTCAGCGGGCAGGGCTTCGTCTCCTCTCCCCCAGCTGCCTGTTTGGCTTTTCTTCAGAGACAGATGTTTCCATTGTTAGGGGCTTATTTGTATCAAATCCTGGAAAAAATCAAGAGACCATCCTAATTCGCTAATTGTGCCTGACTTTTCTTTGTTTGAAATATTTTAGAAAAATAAGTCATTCACAATAGACTTTGAGCTGCATACCAAAAGACTCTGACCAATAGTTGCCTAATCACTTATTTTATTTATTTTTCATGAATCTTCACATGAGGATATTTTTTCCATCAATTTTTAGAGAGAGTGGAAGGGTGTGTGTGTGTGTGGGGGGAGAGAGAGAGAGAGAGAGAGAAACATCAATTTGAGAGATACACACCGATTGGTTGCCTCCCACACATGCCCTCGCACCTGGGCCAGGGGGTTGAACCTGCAACCCAGTATGTGCCCTTGACTGGAAATCGAACCTGCTGCCCTTTGATGTGCAGGCCGACACACTAACCACTGAGCACACCGCCCAGGACTGGGTAATCATTTTTGAATAAACATATCATTTCTTTCTCTCATTTCACCCTGGGGAGCAAAGAGGCACAATGTTTCTCGCAGGATTATAGTAGTCAAAGCACGAAAGGAAAGTCACATCTGCCCCCTGTACACACTACCGTTCTACCTGTGCCGCCGCCTCTGCTGTACGTGGGCTGCTCACTTCCTAGCTGGGGAGGCCTCAGAATCCTCAGACAAGATTCTGCCATATTAAATCTTTATTTAAGTGAGCAGGGATTCTGAGTGGGTCGGCAGTCCTTGAGATGTACATGGTGTGTATCCTGAGGCCGATCGGAGGGTTACGTTTCGTTTACCTGCCTCAGCGTAGTGGCCCGGGGTGCACTGGTTAATCTCAGGTCTGCACCAGCCATGCAGGGAAAGGCAAACCTAGTCTTCGCCTCTGACACTCCTCCCCTCCCGCTGCTGTCTTCAGTGTGGTTTGTGGTGGGGTTGGGTTTGTAGAGAGGTGCCCCCCGAAAGCACAGTGCTTGCCTCTGTTGCCCCCATCTCTCCTGAGGACAAGTCAGCCAAAATCTTGAGGAAGAGAGTGTGGCCGAGTCTTCCTGAGCTGGGCTCAGGTTTCTCAGTCACAGTGAGCAGCAGCCGGACCAGGGACTCATGGGAAATCTGCTCTCCTAGCCTGTAGACATCTGCGGAAAGGCTTTGGGGTCAAACGGCGGAAGGCCAGGGCTTTAAGTCCGAAGCTTCCCAAAGGAGCCTGGGCGGTGTCACTGGCAGCCCGGTGTCCTTGCAGGACTGCTCTGGTCCCGGGTCAGCGTCGGGCAGTGGTGTGATGTAGAAGGTAGACATTCTCTCCCACGTGAGACATTCTCCACGGTCAGTCTTGGTTTCTGCTCCCTCTGTGGGCTACCTGCCCTGTACCTGGTTTTGTTTTTCAATCCTCACCTGAGGATATGCTTATTGCTTTTAGAGACGGGGAGGGAGAGAAACATCGATGTGAGAGAGAATATTGACTGGTTGCCTTCCGTACTGCAGCCTAGGTATGTGCCCTGACCAGGGACGGAACCCACACCTTTTGGTGTACAGGACAACACTCTAATTGAGCCACCTGGCCAGGGCCCTCTTACTGTTTTTAATGAAAGAGGAGACAGATTCAAACATCAGGACCTCCCGGGGTTCCTCGTGACGTGTCTGTAGATGAGCTGCATAGTGACCACTATGAAGATTTGTTTAAAAGTAAATTTCCAAGCTCTATTCTTAGAGTTGCAGTGGGTCTGCATTGGGGCCCCAAGAGTCAGTGTGTATTAAGAATTTTTCCCAAGTGATGCAAATGCCCAGACAGGTGTGTGAGCCACTGTGTCTATGTCACTGCACGGAGGCCTGTTTTTCACTCGGTGAAGGAACGTGTTGATGTAGGATTCTGAAATGTTTCCATTAGTCTTGAATTGCATGCATTCATAATGCAAATTTCCCCACAGTCCTAGTCTGGCCTGAACCACCCCAGGGTGAACCCCAATGCTTTCAGGGTGTGGGGAGAGTCCTGTCACAGGGGAAGGACTGGCCCTGCTGTGACAGTGCCCAGGATGCTGGGTGGGGCTACGGCCACCTGGCTTATGGTAATACCGTTGCCTTGTGTAGCCAATTGTTTTCAAGATGAACATAGACCATGTCTGCAGGATGGCCCTGGCAGGGGAGGGGGCGGTCAGCCAGACCAGACTTGGGGAGCAGTGCTCACCCTTGGCCATGGCTGTGGTCACTCTTAGCCATTCCAGGCAGCACCACCGTGAATGAGAGTCACTCCCCAAGGAGACATCTGCTCAGGGGACAGTTTCATCTTCTCAATCTTTTACTCATTCCTTTCTCTCTAACGATGTCTCTGCTTTCTCCCTGACCTTCTGTTTCTAGGCCTTCATTTTTCCTCCATACCCACGCGGGTTAGCCTCCCGCAGGCACCATTGCCCTCAGCTCCACCCAACTTCCTGCCTTTCCGCCCCACTGGCCCTCCCCTCCTCGGCTGCTGTGAGAGGCCCGCGGTCTCCTTGGCCGAGGCTCAGCAGGAGCTGCAGATGCTGCAGAAGCAGCTGGGAGAAAGTGAGCACTTCCTGCATGCGAGCCTGCGGATGGCGGCCCCACCCGTGTCGCTCTGCATGGCTTTGGTTTGATGGCAGTTTTCTAAAAGCCGAGGGGCGCACATGGCCAGGGGACGATGGCGGGATAACGCTGCTTGCTTTTTAAACATTTTTTGGAAATGTATTTACTGTTATCTTTCTGGTGTGTGTGTCCCATCAGTTAACAGGCGTCTAGCTCACCAGGCCCTAGTCCTGGTGCTCTCCCACTGCTGCCAGTGGGGAATCCCACCAAGTGTGCCGAAGCCTGACACACTGCTGACACACTTGCCTGTGCAGGGTGAAGTGGCCGTGACAAAGATGGCCACGTTCCGTGGGATCCTTTCCATGGCCATTACCCTCCTGCTGTGAGATGCCTTTAGTCGAGTTCAGATCCTTACACCCTCAGGTGGGGGCTACAAGGTGGAGGTAGAGGGATTAGAAGGGGGTGACAGCCCCCTCCCTGTTGCACAAGGTTCATTTCTGCCCCTGGACAGGGGACGCATGGGCAGTGAGACCCAGAAACATAGGGATGTCTGCTGTGAACTCAGTCCTCTAACTCACAGAACTCATAGACTGTGTAGTTACCTTTTAGAAAAGTGTTTGATGTATATATGGGCTAGATGCCCATCATAAAAATTGTGTGTGTGTGTGATCACTTACAGCTTAGAAAAAATAAGAACCTCACATCACGTGATGGATTTGCTCTCTAATAGTGCTTAAAAAACAACTGGAAAGCACCTTGGAACTAGTGGGAAGTGCTGGTGTGTCTGACCTAAAACTTACTGCGGTAGCAGTTCTGGAACCAACAATTGATGGATAACAAATCTGTCCCATGCCCCAATGACAAGAGTGTTCCCAAGCTTACTTTTTCCCCTTTCCCTTTCCATAGTTTCCGACTCGCCTTCATCCAAGGGGAAACACAGAAGGAGAGCACGGCCTGAAAAGGGGCCAGGTGCTGTGGGCTGAAGCCCTATCTAGTCTGAGACACTGACCAGAGTTGGGTGGTCCCCGAGTTGGTGAGGAAGATTGTAACCCTTTCTTTGCCCTCCTGAGGTGCGGTCCTCTCCGAGGGACCATCGCTTACCCATGCTCCTTGTTTGCTTTGACCCAAGCTTCCGTGTGGACAGTAGTGCATGGCGGCTTCTCAGGTCACTGTGGGGCTAAAATCTTGTCTGTTGTCCTTGCATGATTTAGGGCATGTGCTCTGCATTGTGTGGCCAGGGAGACTGGGGAATGAGAGTATTGCTCACTGGTGCTGATAGTCTTGGGAGCTCCTATGACCTTGGGTAGAAAGTATACGTACTGACTGTCAACAACGCTTTGCCTTGGGTTGGGGTGTCATTAAGGGTGTAGGAAATCACATCTTTATTGAATCCCAGGTAACATTCAGAGACTTACATTTTCCATCCTGTTCTCTAACTCCCAGTGATCCTAATGGATATCTGTATTTTGCAAATTTGGGGAAGGAGAGACCCAGGACTGTATTTCTCACATGTTGCTGTCTATTAGAATCACGTGGGATGATTTTAAAACACCCAGTGCCCAAGTTGTACTCCATACCAACTAAGGCAACATCTCGGGGGCCCAGGCATCCGTATATACTTTTCTTACATTGTCCCAAGTATTTCCACTATGTAGCCAAGTTTGAGAACCAGTTACAGATAGAGATAAAAATTAGCAGTTAACTACTCAGAAGAGTCTGGCTTGGCAGGAGGAAATGTGCCCTCACTTCTGTTTGCTTAGATAGAGCTACCTGTGCACCTTGCCACCCATGTATATGATCCCTGAAAGACAGCCGTCATATGAATATGAATGTCCTAAACTACAGCACTGCCCTCCTCTCTCCATCGCTCCCCAAGCTGGCCTTCGTTTTATATAGAAGCAGAGATGATGGTGCTCAAGAGAAGGCCCATGATTTCATAAGATCTGTGAAAGCATCAGCCTGTGAAATGAAAGGTTCTCTCCCCTTCTTGCCTGCTTCCCTCCCTGCAAGTCTTCAGTGATTCTTCAGGCAGGAGTGAGGAATCATGTTGGGTGAGGTCCAATCCCCACTTGCCTGCCAGAGAGCCTCCTGCAGCCTCAGCAGAGTTCTCTGGTCTGGAGGAGTTGGGGAGACCATGTCTAGCTGGATTTCATGACCCCTTTCTCTGACAGCCCCAAAGGAGAAAGGGAAAGACTGACTGCCTAGCTCCTGGGGAAGGCAAGTTCCCACAGGCCAACGATGAGTCCTGTTCACAGGTGTGCTCAATGCTGGATGCCATCACCCACGTGACCCCAGACTTTGGGAGTGAGTTCTACTCCTGGAACCTCCCTAGACTCTGGCATAGGAGTTGTGATAGGAGCCAGGGTCCACTGGATTTCTTTGGCTCACACTGGTGACTTTCAGATACTTTACTGTCTCCTACCTCTTGGTGTCTCCTGATGGCAAATACTAGTACTTGGCCTCTAGGTTATGCGTCTTTATCTACTGGGTTCGCTGCCATGGGCTGGGACCTCTGACAGCCACAGGCACCCGTCGGGGTCTGTTCTCAGTAAACACACTTCCTCGCTGACCCTTCCCCTCTGAGGCTGTTTCTCATGTGGGTTTCTTTCTGCCCAGGTGTCAGCACCGTCCATCCCGCCTCCCCGGCTACATTGCTGAGCAGCCACTCAGACGCCAGCTCTTCCCACTTCCTCCCCCCTGCCCAGCCCCACTCTCCTCCGAGGGGCGCCCTAGAACTGGGCGGGATCCTGGAGCCCAGGTACCTGGGCAGCAGCGGCCAGTGGGATATGATGAGGCCTCAGAAAGGGAGCGTATCTGGGGACCTGTCCTTGGGCTCCTCCCTGTGCCAGCTGAACTCCAAACCCACCGGTAAGTGAAATTCCCTGGGGATAAAATGAAAGGGCCATAGCGGTGCTTCGTGCATCCTTCATCCTCCCTGCCCAGGGCCCGGGTGCTGTGCAGGGCGTGGGAAAGCCAGGGACCCCGCTGCTCTCACATTCGCCTGCATCCTGAGCCCCTAACAGCACACTCTGGGCCCTTCCGGAATGCCGGGCACCAGCACTCACAGGACATGTGTCCACCAGTCAGGGATTGCCGCAGAGAGGGCGGCCTACCCCATAAATATATCCTGTGCCCACAACCAGGTCCGACTTTCCTCTATCCTAGCTCTCCTGGTCAGGGTCAAGGCAGTGCACCAGGTGGACCTGTTAGATACAGGTGGATGCTGGGATGCGGCTCAGTGCCAACAGTGAGAGGACTGTCATTTAAAAAAAAAAAAAAGGCTGAGCCCGAAGCAAAGTGGTGCAGCTGGTACAGCTGGTGCAGCCTGTCAACAGCACCCCTCCCACCTCTGTTCCTGCACCTGTCACCCTTTCCTGGGGCACTTCCTCCTCTCGCCAGCCCTCGGATATGTGCAGGCTCTCCCTCCCTCCTTCCCTCCTTCCCTCCCTCCATGCTTCCCTCCCTCCATGCTTCCCTCCCTCCTTCCCTCCTTCCCTCCTTCCCTCCCTTCATGCTTCCCTCCCTCCTTCCCTCCTTTCCTTCCTTCCCTCCCTCCCTCACTCCCTCCCTGCTAAAGGGGATGCGAGGGCGGCATTCAGGACCATTAACCAGCGGGATGAGTCCATGTCCGTGAAACTGACCCGAGGCCTTGTCTTGGGGGCGGAGGAAGAGCTGTGTGTGGTTGTTTAATCCAGCATCAGTAAGAGGAGAGGGTTAGGGTAGCGTGAGGCCTTCCCTGTCACACCCTAAGTCACACTCAGGAGTGGCCACACCTTTCCAGGTGCCAGCAGGCCTGTCCCAGCCTCAGCTATTTATTTATTCTTTGCACGCATGAACAGGTTTTTAATAACATTCCCCCTGAATCAAACCGAACTGAAATAAAAGGGGCAGCTTAATTCCCAGAACTCAAAAGACTGCAGACTAAAATAAAGTCAGGCAGAAATATTGAGAAATTCTAGCAAACTCTGTGAATGAATCGTCCTAGGAGTTTCAGCACGTAGGCTGGTTCCGGTCCAGGCGGTCACTAGAATTCAGGGGTCACCAGACCATGGAGAAGGAACCTTCCCACAGCTCCACACGCTGGGCGAGACCCACGTTCAGGAAACCACACGAGAACTCAAGCCAATGAGATCTCAGGCTGACGAGCACTCCCAGTTACTTTTCTAAACCAGGCGGAACCCCCTCACACTCACTAGTTACACTGGTCACTGCACACTTACACTTAGCCCTGCGTGGGAGGGGGTCCGTGGGGCTTGCTTGGCCCCGGGCTGACCTGTGTTGGAAAGCGCCCTGTTGCCTGGGTGCCCATGTGAGAGGGTGCAGTTGGCAGAAGGAAGGTGACGTTTAGGGATCTTGCTGAGAAGCCAATGGCCGAGCCCTGTGCCCACGTGGGCCCTGCCTGTGACCAGGATTCTCCCACCTCTCTCCTGCCCTGGTGGCGGCTGCAGGGGCTGACCTGCTAGAGGAGCACCTTGGTGAGATCCGGAACCTGCGCCAGCGCCTGGAGGAGTCCATCTGCATTAACGACCGCCTGCGGGAGCAGCTGGAACACAGGCTCAGCTCCACTGCCCGCGGGAGCGGTAGGACTGCCGGGCTTCCCGTTCCTGGTCCTAATTGGGAGCTTCTGGAGGGAGGGCCCTTGGGCAGAGCTTCTCAGCATTCAGAGCACAGTGGTCGGCTTACACAGGTGCTGCCTGCAAACAGCCAGGCAGGGCTCTGGGCAAGTACCACTGTCCTTACTGTGCAGGTAGATGGAGGGAGCTCAGAGAGTGACCTTCTCACAGCAGAACCAACCAGGTCTGTCCCAGAGCCCCAGACTTCCCATCCTCCTAATGTGCTCTCGTACTTCCTGCTGAGTCCTCTGCGCCCCTGTCCTGTGGTTGGCAGGTGGTGGGGCCAGGTCTCCGGGCCCTCACCCAGCCACTTACCCGGGTGGTCTTTCTGCACACTCGCCCCCAGGCTGCTGTCCCTGGGAGGCCGGCCCTCCCACACGCCTTGTCCAGCCCACAGCGCAGCTGTGTAGGGGAACGAGCCTCCCTGGCAATGGCAGCCAGGGCAGGTGACAGTGCAGCCGAGAACCCCGAGAGGAGACAGGAAACCAGGCCTAGGCCCCCAGTCCTGAGCCCAGGCCTGAGTCCTCAGGGTTTTCTACTGGGTGGGACAGTGTCTTTGGAGATACAGAAGGGGCAGCTTTGAAAGCAGCTGCCACCCACATGCGTAACTTGTCTGCTTTCTCTTCCGGGGCAGGATCCACGTCTAACGGCTACAGTCAGGGTCTGGAGCCCACGACTCAGCTGCACAGCGAGAACAGGGCCCTTCGGGAGGAGAACCGCAGCCTCCAGGCTCAGCTGAGTCACCTGTCTCGAGGTGGGTGTCAGAGCCACAAACTGGTCACCTCGGGTGCCTGTCTTCCCTGGCCACACCCGTCGCCAACCAGAGAAGCAGAGAGGAGGTGGAAATAACAGCTACCCAGGTTCCCATCGCCATTCTCAGGCTGGAAAGGGCTGCTCCTGAGAGGTGCCACCTATGGGCCCTCAGCCTCGGGGCCGAAGGGACACATAGCCCTAGGGAACCACCCCTGCCGTGCAAACTCGCCTGCTGATACCCAGTCACTGGCTATCAAAGTGGATACCACTTAGGTACCTGTCCCACCTCCCCAATGCACAGCTGATTTTGAACCAGAAAAGGAAGGAACCTAAGAGCCTATAAACAATCTCACGTTTCTCCTGACTTCACTGCAGCTCTGTGTGTCCCTCCCAGTACTGGGCTGCCATCCCCGTCCCCTCACCACGTCCCCTCACTCCTCAATCAGGCTCCTTTCTGGTCAGGAGACCTCATGACTGTGTCTGGTGGTGCCTGTAAAATGTTTCCAGAGCTTTCCCATTCTACATAGTGGGCATCCAGGGTTGCATCCACAGGTGGCATCTATGGGTGGCATCTACAGGCGGGCATCCACAGGCAGTCATCCATGGGTGGGCACCCACAGATGGACATCATTTCTGATGTGACCTGAGGTGCAGCTGACCTTAGTGTTAATTGACTTGCCCAGATCACTAAAATTGTCAACAAATTATTTTTATTTACTAATATTTATTAAATTGTCATAGAAGACTAAGAATAGTGTCCAAAAGGATTAAGCTCAGAATGAATGAATGCTTATGGAAAAGGAAAAAGATTTTTCCAAATTAGCCACCGCAGAGCAAGGAGATAGGAGAGGAAAGGTCACACTGCTTGGGGAAGAAAAAGGTTAACACAGAAGAGAGAAGGCACAGTTACTAAAGCACCATTGTGTGCCTGGGAAGACTAGAACAGACCTCTCGGGGGGGTGGATGGAAGAGTTAAATGAGCACAGTTTGCCAGGCCCAGGTGAACTCTACCCGGAGGACTGACGGCACCTGCAGTCTTATTCTCAGAGTCCTTGTCCAGGATCTTTAAGAAATGAAGGCCAGAGAGATGCCACAGGCCCAGAGCAGATGTCCCTATTTTCAAAAGGATGACAGTAATATGTACTGAAAACTGTAGACAGGAAATCTTGTTGATCTCTGGCAAAATTCAAGAATGAACTATTGTGCAGAAGGTTGTGAGCACTTAGAAAATAGTGAGCGTTAGAGACCAGAGTGTTTTCTCTAACAGCAACTAGGCCTTATTCAAGCAGAGGACCAAGGGCATTGCAAGGACGAGGCCCCAGGG